ACCACACCCTCGTCATCGAGGGTCCAGCCAGAAGAAAATTTCGACGGACAACCGACGAGAAGGGACGTTCGAATTAATCTCGATCCCCTCGATCGGAGCGTCAGCGAGTTAAACTTTGTCACCCAGTTTCTGGAAATTCAGCAGTAGCCACGCCGCAGAGGCGAGGCCGATCGTTAACCGCTTCGAACCTCTCCCTTAATTACGTGCGTGTAGAAGTTGGCAATTGTAGGACCCCGTTTACAAGACCCGTGGATGAGGCCGGCCGGTAGTCATTAGCATAGCATCTCGATCCATCCGAACAGTCCAACTAATTACACCTGTCCTTCTCTCCGCCTATTGTTTCACCTATCGAAGAACGGAGGAAGACGCTCGTCGTGACACCGCCAACAGTTTCGAGACAATCGTGTATGATTTTCTCCTTCGATGCACGAGACTCCAATGCCGTGGCCATTATTATTAATCAACGAATTATCCTGTTGTAGAAAACATCGTCGTTTTCAACTTTGACTCCCATTTTTAAATTATAATAATATAAATAAAATTCGATCTCTTAGACCTTTTCTTCACCTATCGTTTCACCTATCGAAGAACGGAGGAAGACGCTCGTCGTGACACCGCCAACAGTTTCGAGACAGTCGTGTATGATTTTCTCCTTCGATGCACGAGACTCCAATGCCGTGGCCATTATTATTAATCAACGAATTATCCTGTTGTAGAAAACATCGTCGTTTTCAACTTCGACTCCCATTTTTAAATTATATAAATAATAATATAATATATAAATAAAAAATATAATATATAAATATAAAATAATAATATAAATAAAATTCGATCTCTTAGACCTTTTCTCCGCCTATCGTTTCACTTATCGAAGAACGGAAGAAAACGCTCGTCGTGACACCGCCAACAGTTTCGAGACAATCGTGTATGATTTTCTCCTTCGATGCACGAGACTCCAATGCCGTGGCCATTATCGTTAATCAACGAATTATCCTGTTGTAGAGAACATCGTCATTTTCAACTTCGACTCCCATTTTTAAATTATAATAATATAAATAAAATTCGACCCCTTAGACTTTCCAATCTCGCTTTTTTCAAAGCCGATCACCGAGCCGGATTTATGCTGCTCGGCCATTAAATTTGCAGCGATTCTCGGCGCTCGCGTCAAGAAAACCTGTTGGAGGGGGAGAGAAGGGGAAGAAAAAGCAAAGTGCAGCGTATTTGCTTACGTGGCCGGGGGTGGAGGGAGGGGAGGATCGAAAGTAGAAGGCTGGTTACCAAGGCAACCATGGGAACCGAATCTAATAGGAAACTCATTATGGCCGTGTCTTCCGTTTCGCCAAACTAAATTCTTGACT